AAAAATACCTTAAAAAAAGCTGGCATTAGCCTTACCAATTTTTAGATAATTTGTTTTGGATAATGAAATTTATTGCTTAAAGCCCATGGGAAGGCATAAAGTGGATGGCTGATTCAGATTATCTAATGTAAAAATTGTATAAATGTACAGATTATTCTCCTACATACATTTTCTTTCCTCCAAAGATTTTGGCACTATACTTTAATACTATTATGTAATAGTTTTAAATTACTTAGAAAGCCGAACTCTACTTTTATTAACAAATCGGGCCTTTTCATTTTTCATAATAGCTTGACCGCCCTCTAGCTTGAAGAATGATGACTTTTATTAACAAATGACTTTTTTCCAATTTACTCTTTCTTTTGTGGCCAAAAATAAGTAATTTTAGCTGAATTAGCCATTTTCACTTAGCTCCAAAAAGGATTTATTCCAAAAAGATATATTCGGGAATACTAATGTTCTTTTATAAACAGTTTTTTCGCATTAAACAAGAGCTTCAATGGTCTGTTTCGGGGAAATGCGTAATGGTATTTAACCTAGTTGGAGAATCAGTTTTTTCCCTTGAAAAGCCAATTGAGAGTACGAGGGGGTTAATTTACCATTTTCCACTATATAATTATTGTATTTTGTTTTGTTGCAATTTGTGTCTTCATTTTAATTTTTAATTTTTACGTATTGGCATTTTTTCAATCTATGTTTTTTATATGTACTTTATTTTTTTCCGTTGATCTATTTTTCATGTGAGTTAACTTTTCACATATTACAACGGTCAGATTAATTTTTTCGTGCATTAGCAAGTCTTCCAGCATTAATTTTGGCAGTTTTTTCGCATGTTTACAGTTTTTTCCAGTTTTTCCAGACAAATTTCTTCATAGTTTTTATTTTTGCAATACTGCGTTAAAATATTTCGTGGAGCTACAGCTCCTGGTAACTTTTTAGCGAGATCACTGCAATGTTTCTACCTACTACTATTATTACATGGATATAATAAATATAAATAAGTTAAAAAATTAATTTCTTTTACTTTTGCGGAAGAAAGCCTTTTTTTCTGCTGTAGAAGAAACCTGCCAACCTTGTTATGTGTTTTCCTGTTTCTTGTCAAAGTCAGCATAGATCCAACCAAACTTATGCCAGTCATTCCAGCAATTTAAATGAACAGATTGTTCTTTGTTTAGTTTGATAATCTTAGATTGTTCGTCAGTTAACTAAATAATCATCAGATGCAAGTTATGGCTGAATAGAAAATTTTAAAAAAATTGGTACGTTCTGATTATCCGCACTTTCCTTCCAAAACGTTATCAACCATTAGCAACTAATTTTTCACCAAGCTAAGATGCAAAAGACAACAGCTATTTTCTACAGTGGCAATGTACTAAGAAGTACATAAAACAGCAACCAATTAATGAAATTAAAATTGGAATGAACATCCATAACAAAACACCTTTTTTTCTTTGATGTTTTACCCATACATGCAGCAATCTATTTTCGCACAAAAATACATCAGAAAATTGCACACATTTTGGTCATTTACAAAGTACAACTCCATGGAATGCAAATTTTTGCATTCGGTACTGATCTCGGCAAAATGCCATATTTCTGAAAAAATTTAACACTTTCTTTTTCGTTAATGAGCAAACTCTGCAGTACCATTACAATTCTGTACAAGAGAGAAAAAAGTGGACTCAATGCCACAAAAATGAACACTAATGGCAGTCGAATTTGAAGGTTGAAATATGGCTTTCGCTGAAAAATGGCACTCAACTGAAACACACACACATGCCTTGGTAGCCACATAAATACATTTTCCTTACCTGAAGAAACTCAAAATTTTCAAACAACTTGATTATTTAGATCAAATAAAGATGCTGCTTACTTCATTTGAAAAGTGATTTAAAGACTGAGTTGCATAAGGTTAAATTTAAACTATGTAGGAATCAATTTTCTGCTGTAGTCAAAGAAGCTGCAGAAGGTGTTCAAATGTATAAACTTCTGACATATGCAAATCCAGATTCCATGATTTAGACATTCTTGACTTGTATAATACTCTACCTACTGAATTTTTGGGCTTGAAAAATAATGCAAGCTGATGTGCTTCCATGTTTGGTAGTATTTATATATATATGAACAAACATTTTCTCTTATGACTTATTTAAAGTCATAAGATCATTTTCTCTTATGACATTTATTTCTTAATTTTGACTTATTTAAAGTCAAAATTAAGAAATAAACTGACAGATCAACACTTGCAATCGGTCTTAAGAGTACAAACAACTAACTTTCAACGAAATATATAAAAAATTATTGATAATTTTATCTATTTTTATTTAAATTATTGATAATTTATAAGTCTCAACCGTAACACTAATGTATTTAAATATGGCTAACTTGTACAATTTTTATTAAAATATTTATGTATTAAATGAACATAACCTGTAATTTTTTTTTCAAGCTGAACTGGGTATGCTGGCCTCAGTAGCATATGCAAGGGAAAAGGGAAAGCGTCTCCCTCTTTGCTTACATACATAAGTAATGGTCTCCAAATCAGTTTAAATTTGGTATGATACACGTCTGATCCAAATCAGTTTAAATTTAATATGATACATGTCTGAATTGCAAATTAAGCACCCCTCCCACCACCACAAGGAAGTTTTTTGCATATACTATTGGCCCTCGGCAACTAAGTCATTTCTATGAGTGGCCCTCCTACTGTGCACCCCTACGTTAGAATGCATAATAAACAAACACGACCAAATTTGAACATGCTTTAACATTTGCTGAATTGTCTTCAGGTTCAGTTCCAGCAATTGCCTCATGCAGTTCGTTGTGCATATCGATAGTCGAAGGGATCATTTCAATTGATTGCTCAGAATTTTGTTTGTTTGTTTCGAATGCATTTTCGTGCATATTTTGATAGTTTGAATTATCAATTATCCATGTTTTCCAGTTATCCATGACCTACTTCCCTGGCATTATCCCAGGTAATCAAGAGTACACTGTTATTCCAAATCAGTTAAAATCTAGCCATAAGAAATTGCACTTATATATGATAGAATGAGCATATAAGGTAGGTTGTGTCAGTTCCGAACTCTTAACTTTGCATGTGTCCTTAATTCTTTCTTCCTTCCCATCATAAGTCAAAGACTAGATGTATTTTCACATATAGGCATTAGTTTATACCACCTTCACATTTATAATTCATGTTTCTTGTGGAATCATTCTTCTAATTGGATAAGGCTTATTATTTTTTTGCAGACTATTAGAGCAGTTTTATAAAAATTAAGTACTGTAGTAGTTTACAATTAAACACATCATTTTTTTTTACCATTCGTAAAACAAAATTATTTTTTATTTGCATGAAATAAAACAGATAACTTAATCTATTTATTCAATTAAAATAAAATTAAGAATTATTTAATAGACCTGCATGTAGTACATAATTTTTTCATTTAATGCTTATTCATTACATATTTGCCAAGACAGTCTTCATGCACAAATTCATCTTAATTAACTCAGTAGCAACTTCAAGATATATAATATATTGTATTATCCTATTTAAATTAACAAAATATTAAAAATGCTAAAATAAATAAAAATTATACTTACCTACAAAACAGAACAAGTAATCCAGATAATTAGAGTTGCATGTTAGTTACATAAAGAAGATAAATGCCTTAAATAATTTTCAATTCTACGAGTAAATTCGAAGTTTTTAAGAATGAAAATATTTCTTTCTATTAATGGTTTTTAAATATCTTTTGAATGAAACAAACAAAAAAGAAAACTTTTTACAACAGCTCTCAAGCAATGCCATTTTTTAGAAATGAAGAAAAGCAGCTAAAAATAGATCAAGAAGGACCAGAAGATTCAGTTTCATATCGTTTAATGCAAATATATTGTGAATTATTAAATCATTCTGTGAGCAAAGGTTAAAATCATAAAGCACTTAAAAGAATTTCAATCTATTGTCTAGACTTATTCACAATTGATTTTAGAGCTTCTCATAATAACTTTATTCAGATTTTTCTTGAAGGAGGAATGCACTATTATAACACTGTGAAAAATCAATCATAGGCTGGCTGTATTTGATCTATTTACACAATTTCAGTATACATTTATATAGAATTATATTACTGTAAAAAAAATACTGCAAAATTAGAAGAACTGGTACTTATATATTATTCTTGTGAAACTTGCCATACAGCGTGATTCAGCACCATCTGTGAATAAGCATAATGTCACAACATGCTCATATTTGCACATTTATTTGATGTGAACTTATAGAACCTTCTACAGAATAACAAGCAGTGGGTTATTTTCAAATTTATGGGATCGTACCATGATAATAGTGTCTATTAATAGGCGCAATATAGTTCAGCTGAATGTGGCCGATGAAGCAGTAATAGATTGGAACAATTACATGCAAAATTTATACGCATAATGATCTCATATCTCTGTTGAATCTATTCCAAATAATGTAGGGCTTCTGGTAAAATTGTAGGGCCTAACAATAAAGAGACATCAATACTTTCAGCATTCAAAAGAGATTGGCACAACTTTGGCAAGATCTATGGTAACTAACTGTCATGGACAAAGACATTGTCAGATATGTAGCTGACAGATTTGATATTTATGAATAGGTAAGATTCTTATAGATTTCAAAAACAAAATTTTCATGGTGAATGAGATAATACGTAAGTACCGAAAAACCATTTGAAGCATTTGAGAAAAGAGTTGTTACCAACAAAAGTTTTCCAAAATCCATAATAAACCATCAGAAAAATAATAATATAATGCCCAAAGTAAATAATAAATACAAAATGCTGTAAAATTGTTTCAAACTTAAATAAGATATTTACAAATGTAAACAAGTATTTACATAAAAATTATGGCATTACATTTGTTTGAATTTATTTTAACAATTACTATTTCTCTTTCATGTTTTTATTTAATGTGGTACATCTTTTTACACTTTATTGATAGTTTTGTTATGCTTTCAACAGATTTTGAAATACCTGATGAACATACGCATCGCTTGATGAGGCCAAAAGACATTGTCAGATATGTAGCTGACAGATTTGATATTTATGAATAGGTAAGATTCTTATATATTTCAAAAACAAAATTTCAATTAAAAACAGTTTTTTTTTTAAAATTTATTTCAATCACATTGTAAATTACTTTGATCTTCATTTAATCAAACTTAATTTTCGTTGTCTTAATACTAGGCATTCATAAAAGGTGACTACAGGTTTAATTTTCATATACTTAACCTAGGCCTATATTTCTTATTACACAGTTCATATATATATTTTTCAATAATGTTTAAAATGTCAGATTTGACATATTTTTTCAGGCCTGAGTTTATAAGCAGAACAACAATTTTAAGAATTTTTCTTTTTTTCTTTCATTTTGCATTTCTAGGCAAATAAACCTTATGTACTTTGCCTTAATTAAATTATTCTAACTTTTTAGAAAATAACAGCCTGGTTTAAAATCGTGTAAATTTACATTTGTTTCAGTACATACCTAATTAAACCATTAATAGCTTTTTTTTTAAATACTTTTAAATGAAAAGTATTAAAATGTTAGATAATTTTATGAAATACTTTGTCAGTGGCATCAAGAGGTTTTGCCTGAAGCCTTTTTTAAATTGGTCCCTGCTTAGTAAATTAATCATTATGCTTTAAGAAGTAGAATGCAAGAAGTTCTGTACTGTTTGTTACATGAAAAAAATCAGTGACATATTTGTAATTAATTTTTTTCAGCCCCTGAGTTAATTTTAAAAGTATATGAAATTATTAATTACCTAATGAACCATTTCTGTCTTGTAGTTCCGCCATAAATTAAGATAAATAATTTTGGTCTAAAATATGCAATGAAAAATTATTATATTTTCACAAATTTTCCAATTTCTGCATTTAACCTTTTAACACAATGATCACTTCCCTAACTAAAATTCTTGCCTTATTGAAACTGTATAAAAAGTTTAATTTAACATTTGCAGAACCATTCTATTCTTTTCTCATTAAGTTCTCTGTATTAGAGAAAATTTATAATTGAAAGTAATAAGGAATTATCACATTTTGCCACACATTTTCTTGTGGTGTAAGTGGTTAGAACATCCAGTGAGTAGTTGGAAGATCAATAGTTCAAATACTGGGAAAGACTCATAATTTTACATTTAGACTCTCAAAAAGACACTATTGAATGCCACCTAAAAATAGAAACCTGTAAGCAAGTAGCCTGCTTATTGAATAATACAGGTCCGTAACTACCACCAGGAGAACTGGGAGCGACTGAGGGAGAAAATATATAGATTTTTTTATGTTGGAGATTTCATTTTAACACATTGCACGTGGGGAAGATACTTTTATGTATTTTGCAGTCTATCACTACATCGCAGGCTACGTAAAAGTACGTATTCAGTAGATTTGTGCTGGACAATGGATATCGTATAAATATGATGGGCATTGTAAATATGTATTGATTCATTGTGATTTAATAAATGACCAGACTCGCCTTGAAATTCATGAAAAACTTCCTGCTACACGAGGAAAAGTTTGCGGCGAGGCAAATATACCCGCATACAATGTGTTAAAAATTGAAGCCGAATAATTATTTATCTAGCTCGAAAAATTAATAGTGCCACAGGATTAGCAGTATTACTGGTAAAAAATCACAGATCACTTCAGAAGCTCCTCTGATGTATGCATAATATATAATAAATCTAAATGCCGCTAAAATTGCAACAACAGGCATGTTGGCAGTCTCACGGAGTACAATTTCATGTGTGGAGGCCATTTGTTCTAATAACCATGTTCTTTAAATTTCATTTTGTTCCACCTATTACTCTATTTTTTAGACTATTTTACTTCTAATTTTAGCCTTTAATTTCCAAATATAAATGGGTAAAATTAGTTTACTTAACTGTGAATATTGATAAATATTTCTAGTAGATCAAAGTCCATTGCACTGCAGTTAAAATGTGTATTCTAGGGGTGGCCAAACTTCATGTGAGTAAAAGCTGCATGTTGGAATTTAGGAAAGCTCGAGAGCTGCAACTAGATTTTTCAAAACCCATATGTTCATATTTATATAATTTTAAAAGGAGTGAAACAGGTTTCAAGTGGAAGGAAACATGAGATTCTAAACAATCACTCAATGACAGTTTGCTTGTATTTTCCTGTCATTTGAACATTTAGTGTTATTGTATTTAATTTTATTTGTATAACACCCACAGCATTCATCTGGGAGAGCCGTGTTATGACTACCTCTTGCATATTCATTCAGTGGATATTACATCACCTAATTATTTAATAATTTATAATATATATCTTTTCTTAGTTTTTTTTATTTACATCAGCAAAATATTTGGAAACTCAAATTAAGAGAAACCTACCAATGTAACCTTATGTGGGAATAAATTTTGAATAAAACTATCAGTTTTGTGACATAAGCCCCTGATCTTAGAAGCAAAATGCCTGTGCCAGAAATTGTGTGTGATTATCCTAAAATAGTCTTATTTGCACCAAATAAGGTTGCTTTTGCCCAAATTTTAAATCTAGAATAAAATATTTAAATTCGATAACATGTTCTTCTGAAAACAGCCCTCCATTTCTTAAATTCCTTTGAAATTTCAAAAATTATTTTAGAACTGTAGCTTTCCTATTTCCTAGTAGACATTGCCCAAGCAGCCCTTAGCAGTCAAAAATTAAATTACCAACCAAATAAAATACCAGTTGATACCCTGCTGAAGATGGGATAAGCGATTGTTTTAAGTGGGTCAAAAGGATTTGTAAAGAATCCTGTAAGCAAATAACCTCATTCATGCTAACCCGGACATTATCATTTCAAAGGCCGACAAAGGTGGCCATATAGTTGTCATGGGCAAGAACACTTACATCAACGGTGTCACTTAAATGAAGGACCATAGAATCCAATCTCTAAAGACCCTTCACCTTTAGCCCTTTCAAAAATAAAAACTGCCATCAAACTTCACAGATCCTTTCAACCTACTTAAAACCATCACTTATCCCATCTGTTGTGAATAGTGTCAGATTATATGCTCTCCTCAAAATTCATAAAAGTGGTATTCCTTTCTGCCCTATTGTATGAAATTTAGGCACTGCCTCGTACCCCATTACCTATATATTTAGTTTCTATATTTTCAACTCTATTAGATAATAAAGTTAAAAAACATTTCTCCTAGAAATTTAATCATGGCTTCTTTTGATGTAAAATCATTAGTCACCAGTGTTCCAATGAAAGGTGCATTTAGATGTCTAGAAACCAAAATTCGTGAATTTCATTTCTCCTGCATCGAAATTGACAAGTTAATTTTCTTTGCTCAACTCTGTTTGAAAGAAACACATTTTGTTTACCAAAATAAGTATTACAAGCAAACTGAGGGATTAAGCATGGGAAGCCCCATCCTTGCTGTTGCGTACATGCATTATTTTGAATCAAAATTATTTGAAACTGTAAAGTTCCCGGTATGGTTTCGCTGTGTAGACATACTTTTACATTGTTTGACAGTAATAAAGATGATTTAAAATAAGTTATTTCAATAATGGATTCCATTGATCCTGCTATTCAGTTCACTTTTGAACTTGGAACATCCAATTATATTCCGTTGCTCTACATTTTGGTCACGTGTAACACATTCAACTTCAGTACTACTGTTTATGTAAACCTTCATCAGTATGCCTTCCTCCGCACTTCAAATCATGTCATGTGCCTAAACAGAAGTTTTTATTCCTTTATTTTCCATGCACTTAAAAGTTTGCTGATCCAAATCAGCTCTGATCAAGAACTAAATTAGTTAAAAGCAGTTGCTATTGACAGAGGCTTTTCACCCAAGCAGTTAAAAAATTTTCATCTCAACACATATCAAAAGGTACACTCTTGTTTTAGGAGATTATAAGAATTCTGTTGTCATTACTTTCTTTTCATTGATTATCTATAAAAATTGCACATATTTTACAGAAATTTAACTTTTGGGTTGTTTATTCTCTCATCAATGAAATTCCTAGTTCCATACTTAAAAACTTTATTCCGGATGTGGATTACTGAGATATTTACAGGATTCCTTGCCTATGTGGTTTAATTTACATTGGTTAAACTAAGAGAGCCTTAAAATTTTACGTTAAAGATATCTAACTAAGCAAAAGTTAGCTTCATTTCATTCCTGTGTTTTCCGTGCACTTCAAGTTTGCTCTTCCAAACTGTCTCTTGATGAAGAACTAAATTAACATTATTAATCAAGCAGTTAAAGGATTCTTTACCTCAACACATCAAAGTGCACACTCTTGTTTTAGGGGATTATAAAAATTTTGTCATCATTCCTTTCTTTTCATCAATTAAGCTTATAAAATTACACGGATTTTGCAGAGATTTAAGTTTCGGGTCGTTTATTCTCCTATCAATAAAATTCTGAGTTCCATACTCGAGGAACCCATTCTTGATATGAATTCCTGGGGTATTTACAGGATTCCTTGTCAGTGTAGTTTAGTTTACATTGGCCAAACTAAGAGAATAAAATTTTGCATTAAGGAACATGAGGCATACATTAGGAAAAAAAAGCACATAAATTCTCTGTTGGCTAGCACTGTTAGTCCGAAAATTATTCAAAAAAAAAAAAAAAAAAAAAAAAAAAAAAAACCCTCCATTGATGAATTAGATTTGAGGCATTTCACATTCAAAAAAGTCTGTGTTCTAGTTAATGAACAGATTAATGATTCTAATTAATGTTTGGGTCACAGTTCTAGTCCAATCCATCTTTAACTTCAGCCTTTAAGGAAATTATGGTTTAGTTTTCTTGTTTCATCAATAGATGATGCCAGTAACTTAACTTCTGTCCAGCCGTTCTTATCGCCATACCTTATCTCGTTCATTTGCACTTTGGCAGCTACCATCGAAACTAGTCGAGCAAAATTTCCTAATATAACGCTGATTTTTGTTTGACTTCTCCAGTGGTCATTCTTCAGCATATTGTTTTGACCTAAGCGGTTCTGTGTTTCCACTTATTCCTCCTATTATTTCCACTTATTCCACTCCACTTGCTGTGAAAAGCAGTCTCAAAATTTGAAGATATTAAAGGGGAAAAATACCACCATCCTTAAAAGAGATTCAATATTTATAAGAAAAAAATAAAAATCATGTCTTTGTAGAAGAATCCAGAACAGCTTCTATGGTTGCTAGACACTTGCAAGAATCAAGTGTCATGAGCAGTATTTTTTGTGATTTATTGGACAAACAATAATATTGTTTCTTTTGTGACTTTTTTTACAATAAAATTGTGCCAGTTACTGATTACAAGTACAGTCAGTTTCATTTAAACATATGCCACATACTAACACTTTTTTTTTTTCTTTTTTTCAAATTACAACACACCAGCTTCCTTGCTGTGGGGTGAATTACATTTTTGATGTCACTGTCTTCTGGCAGTGGAAATTGTGCCTCCCGATTTTGAGAAGGAAAGAAAAGATTAAAAAAAAAATCAACTTGGATGTAACTATCACATCTATCACCTTATTCAAGTAACCATTCATTTTAAATAATCTTCTGTCTCGAAGGAAGTTGAGAACTGAGTAACCTGATTGTTTGTGAACACTTTTTTTCCTCCCCTCTTTGGAATTTGTGAAAGATCAAGTGAATGTACCTCGAGCATCTGCAACACTAAATGGTCTTCGAAAAGCATCAATGTTGCTCTCAGCTCTATCACACCAGATTCTGGTTATCAGATTTACCAACTTATTTAAGTATCTTGAAATCAGGAGCTCTTTATGTTTTCCTATAGTGTATATGATTAGTGTATAGTAAATAGAATATAATTTTAGCAAAGAAATTTTAAAGTCAACCTTTTGTTGTAGAATTTAAAAAAAATCATTTTATTTAAAAACACTTAAATTAAAAATGGGCTTAATTTTACTTAGTCTAAAAAAAAAAAAAAAAGCAATGAAGAAATCTGCAGTGTAAATAATTAAAATTATTACTTCTGCATGGGAGAGCAAAGTATATAATAGGAAGAGAAATATTTTCTATATTTTTGAATTGAATCTTATTTTAAGACAGTATATACAATTTATTTTCAGCAAATAATACTCAACTGTATCATACCAAATTCATTTTCAAAATATGCATATGCTTGAAAATGTGATCAATGTTTGGTTAAATTATTATCCAAATATATTGTTATACAAATCTTCTTTCACATTTTCAGGTGAATAATTTCTGTTGCTTCTATCTAATAAAATCTGTTTTTGCTATGTAAAAACTTAAATATTTGAAAAGTTTGTTTTCTACGTCACAAAAAATATATAGTGCACATTTTATCTAAAAATGTCTGTTTATGTCACAAAAATGTCTGTTTATGGCAGTTTTATTTCTTTAAAAGATGAAATTTTAGTTTTATAGTAATTCATTTTTAATTGATTATATTTTCTTTTTTATATAGATTGCTGCAAACTTTGCCTCTGTATAATACTATGGCATATGTTAAATCTTTAGAAATTAAACTAGAATTATGTATTCAATTTGGTATGTATTATGAAATAAATAAATCATTTTATCAAAATCTCTTTCATAACAACTTGGTAAAATAAATATAAGGGTGGAAATATTGCTGTATAGTCTGAAAATCAACAAGTGCTAATATAATATATAAATTTTGTTAAAATTAGATAAAAGATTTTAGTATGGCTTCATTTCAAATTATTTTATGCTTTTTTGGAAGGGAGGTTTAGATTTAATAACAAAAGCTTATTACTTTTAAATAGAAAAAAAGTTTTAGAATATTCTATTAGCATTAGAGGGGAAACTTAAATTTTAGATCAATAAAAGTAAATTTTATGCAATAAAGTTAAGAAGGAACAGTAATTGTTCTTCCATTTAAATTACATGCTTAATCATAATGACTGTCTCTAGCTGATAACTGCTTTAATTTGTAACAGAATTCTTGTAAATTTCAATGAAAGACCCAGGCAGCACGACTTTGAAAACATATGCATTGTCTTACTGAAAAAAATGTGCTTTGGGGAACCATGCTGCCTGTGCATATGTGCAATAGAATCAGTATTTATCCATATAACAGAAGCTTATATTGCTAAGCTTCACAGTATGATTTACCAGTAATATACTAAAAAATTGCTATAATTTAAATATATGAGGGGCAGTAAAAAAAGGTCCCTGGAATTTTGTAACTTTTTATTACACAATATAGATATGTATTTACTTAATTGCCTTCAAAGTAGGCTTCTTCAGAACACACAGTTTTTGCCATTGCTGGAAACAGAAATAAAAGTCATGTTGTGGTATCTTCTAGAGTTCATCCATTGTGTTGAATTTGATGTCTTTTTATGGTGTCAAAATGATTAACTTTGAAGCCATTTTGATCTTGGGTGGGGGGAAGCCCATTTAGACAATCCTAATACTGCATGACCACAGGCACAAAATTTATAAATATGGAGAATTTGGTTAAAATGAAATCATAAATTGGTGAAAAAATAGCAATTGTCACTTTAATATAACACAAAATTTAAGTGCCGATATGACTAAAATGTTTCCGGCATCTGCGTGGGATAAATGATAAATGCGCTATTGACAGAAGACTGAAAATTGAATGAAGAATTACATAATGATTTTTAGGAATATTTTTCTGTAAAAAAAAGTATTTTTATATTTAAAAAAGTAAGTACAAAACATACTAAACTGTTAATTTAGATAGCTAAGATATCCAATATTCATTTAATGCTGTTTCAGATCAAAATCGTACTTTCTTGTCATCTCTTGTTTCTACCACACTTTGACTACATGACATTATTGAAATTAAGATCGTAAGTTATTAGTCCAGAACAGGAAAATGCAGAATTTAAATGCCATGCTAAGTTTTCATGACATTTTATTTACAAGATGATGATTTTGTTACACATAAGTTGCCAAAACAGGGGGAAAAAACATTTGAAAAATTAGAAGAAAGATTAATATTAAGGCATGAGTAGTAATACATGACGTATTTGACAGAAGCCAACTCTTCGTCACAACTACAGGAGGATTTAATTTTGAGTGAACTACAGTGCTTTGTGGCTATAGCTATGAGTAGATTGTCTAAGTTTTGCAAATAAGATGCAAGTCCTGCCATAAATTACCACATAAGGTGGTAAATGCAGATAACGAAACATTTAGGGTTTGGGGCTTAAAATGTGATCGTAAGTTACTCAAGCAAACATAACTTGTGTGATGAATTTATTTACATATATGAGGAAGCACATTGTACAAATGCAATAAAAATTTACATTTGTAATAAATACATAAGCAATAATATTAAATATACAATACATCAATAAATACATGAACATACTAAATTATGAAATAAAAAATTTGACATTTCATGTCATTTGGTTAAAGTCCTAAAACTTCAACCAAATATAATAGCACATTTTTTTTCCAGCACTCATAAATTTATCAGCAAAATGTGAAAGGAGTCTTCAATATAGTATCATAAAATATAAAAGAATAAAAATGCCTTCGAGCATTTTTGTACCTATTCTTAACGTCCATCATTCTGCATGCATTTAAAATGGATAACTTTTATACAAAACTTGCTATTTGATTAAAATGGGGAATATGCCAGATTCATAATCATGTTAGTTAATAGCTACATAGTCATTTTTGACAGTTACACAGTGTATTCTATATAACTGAGGATTATAGTAATTTGCTATGCAATAGATACAATTTATCACTATATAAAATCATAAATGAGGATTACAGAATCTGTATTACTACTAATGTATTTATTTGTGTTGCATTATGCTTTCAGCACCATCCCAAAGTCACATTTTGCTGGCTTTGTGTCATTAACCAATGATTATCTCCACAGGAAATGTTGAATATTAATTATAGTTTGAATCACACTTTAAATTTTTAAAACAAATGTAACTTGTAAAAGTGAAATTAAAAAAGTTTCAAATATCTTTATAATAAAAATAATGCAGCACTACCAAAATGTTCTCTGAGTAAATTTTTTTTAACATGTGGGAGAAGCATTTGAAGATATCTTTTGGGGGGGGGGAAATTGCCATGCAGATAAGTTTCCTGTTTATTTTGTACTAAACTATTTCACTTGAGAGAAATCTGGAACAGGAAACGTTTTATACACAAAATCTAGAATTTAGAATTGCATTTTATTTCAGCAACCTGTTCGATGCAAATGAGCAAATTAATGGAATTTGACTGCAGATGTATGTAATTTTAATCCATGGAGTTTGATTTCCAATTAAATTTGTTACGGTATTTTTAAATTGTACTTATTAATGGTACATCATGTAATATTAAAAACACATTACAACAAAAAACAAACCTTTCATTTTTTAAAAGAAAAATACAATAAAATTAAGGCTGAGCAAATGATTTATATATTTTTATCAGGAAATTATTAACAATGAATAATTTCAATGAAAATGTAAATGAATGTACGAAATAAGTTGTAATAAATAAGATATGTCAAAAAAAGTCTCGAATGAAAAATGTTACAAGTTTCACCCACAATGAAACTTTACGATCAGGCCTTTCAAATAAAGACTTATCAATAACTGTTGTTCTGTCATAGAGCCTTTTTTGTTCCTAAAATAGAAAAATCAATTATTACTATCAGCAGCACTCTTCTTAACTAAAAAAAGCATACTATTTATTATGTGTGGTAATAATACAAAGTTTTAATTTCAGTTGTATCTGTTATTTATTTTATCTCCTTTTGCTTTTTCTTGACAGCATCATCAAAATATTTCATCTTCCTTAATATGTTTGAAAAAGATGTCAATAAGTGATGTGATTTTAAAAAAATAAACACTTGAATACTTTTTTTGCAATAAATTTTAAAACATTACTATTGCATTGCTTTATACTGAAAATGTAAATGAAAAATTTACATCTAAAGTACATAAAAATTAACAAAACTCTTTATACTTTTTAAAATTTCACAAGATCTTTTTCAAAATCTTGACATTTTTCTTAAACAATTTTTTTTTCATCTCTGTAGGAAAACAATTTAAAATAATTACTGCTAAACTAAACATTATTTTAATTTCTATGCTTATTTGAAACTTTGGTTAATTTAACCTTCATATAGTTATATATAATACTTTATATATCAATTAAAAACTCTCTACAATAAATTAAATAACATGAATGATTACAATCAAGCTTACCATTTTATTCTCTAAAATTATATGGAACTAAAAGCATGTGATCCATAGCATATTTGATTGATTTAATTGTATTAGCAAATCATTGTATCCAGAACAAATATTATTAAATTGTTGTTATGCAATACTTCAGATTTTACCAATATAATATATTCTCAGTCTACCAAGTTTTCATAAATCAGGGTTACAAAGTTATTTGCTTTAATTAAGAACTAACTAATTAACCAAGCCTGAAATAAAAATATAAGTTACTATTTTAATAGACTCAAGTATTTTAAATTTTTAAAGAAATGTTTATGTTATCACATTCAAACGCTGCTTACTTCAGTCTTAATTTCAAAACTAAATGCCTCTTTTTACCAGTTACTGATGCCAAAGTAAAATGTCAGTGAATCCACTGTAGTTTATTACCCTGGATATATGATACTCATTCGTGATTGAGAAATGTAACTGTAATCAAATAACAAACATAATTGTTCTATAATACAAAATATAATTATTAATTTTAAATCTTATGGCCATACTGTTTTTTTTTATTTGTAGTCACTTACTTATTATGATACAAAAGTAAATAAATATAAAATTATCCTGGCTGGATTAATGAATCAATTAGCTTCTGTACAAATCGTATTTAAATATAATGTTACACTGTAAATACATACTCTTTTTTTCAAAATACAGTTGACTGTGATGTTTCCTATATGCTTCAAAGTTTATTCTGTGATAAATGATTACTACTTCAGAATTACATTTAAAATAAGTGTACCTAATATGATGGTGCAATTTTAAAAGCATCAAGCATAAGTTTGTAAGGTATTATAAGTTATACCAAATGCTTTTTCATTACAGTGCCTTACTAAACTTTTTTAAAGAAGTTAACACAAATGCAAGTCTTCAGGTTATATATTTTTTTAGGGAGAAAATTACAAAATATATATATTGAAAAAAAAAAAAAAAAAAAAAAAAAAAAAAAAAAAAGCTTAATGAACTATCTCTTGGAGAATCACAATTCCAGTCTAAGAAATGAACAATTTGAAGACATCCAAAAGTCAATAGCTGCCAATCATGAAATCTGAAAAACGGTGAGATTTTTGCTAGGACATCAGGAGGGTTTCATGTTAAAGGAATCCCATACTGACTTAAATTCATGTTTTAATGCATGATTCAGATTATTGATACCTGTGTTGTACAGTTCTTATATAAAATATATTAGCATTTAATTAAATATTATAAATTTTATGTCCTTATTATTTTTGAATTTTTTTGTGTGTTTTTATGCTGAGGAAATCCCAAGTAAGGATGGAAAGCTTTTATTTATCAAAGTACCTTTAAAAATACAATGAAAATAAATAATTCATATACATAGTATTTGTGTGGATAAACTTAATAACCACATGTTGAAGTAATATAAAATTAAATAAAAGCATTAACTGCTTAAAATAGCTTGAGTCTTCAAGCTATTTCATTCTATAAAATCATTCTATAAAAATCATCATCATTCATTCTATAAAAATCTACAAATATCCTCAATAGAGTAAGATAATTCGGATCAAATAAAATTTTATAATAAAATATCAAAAAATGTACTTTTAAAAAATAAAATAAAATTTTATATGAAAAATTATTCTGAAAATCACTGGAGATGGGAGGAGTTTAGTGAAAACGAAAAAAATTTCGATTGACAAAGTTGTCAGTATTCTCGGCACAGCAATTACGGGACTTGAACAGCAGAGCTTTTAACTAACAAGAAATTATGTTCTGTTTATAGAATAAAGAGAAAGATTATCACATAAAACGAAACAACTTACATTGAAAGAAATGTTTAATAAGTAAACAAATAAATATTAAGCTTCTTTTTGTAAATTTTGATACCCTTTAGATCAGAATGTTCTTTATTCCTAAAAGTACGGTTTCATATTTTAATTTTCGAATTGTGCTGCCATCTTACGAGATTTAAAACTGATGATCTATAATCGGAATCGCCGAATTCCGACGAGTCCGGATTAACGACTTTGACTGTATATTTTATCTTCAGCTAAATCATTTACTGGCAAAAATGGGACAGTTATATCTCCCATTCTACTGGGCCATTGACGAAATTCAAATATAATTTTTCATGTCTCCAAAGCACGACTTAGGATATGTATTAGATTTATATATTGCATTGTTCTAATATAGGTATTTTGACACAAAATCGAACTTTTTCTGAAATAACATGCCAATTTTTTTCCATATTTCGATTCTACGGCTCAAATTATGCCAAACTCCCAAGTTTTGTAAAAATCGCATGAGTAGTTTTTAAAACATTAGCTCTCAAAATTTTAGCTCCTCAATGTTAATTGAATTTGGTGTATATTTACTAAACTTATTTGATTCTTCCTTTCACATTTCAAAATTTAGGTTCATTCCAAAAAAAATTCGCCCATTCTTAATGATTTATTTTAAAAATTTGTATTTTTAAATAATTGTTATAAATTTTTTGAAAAAAATTTGAAATATAAGCTATAAAATTTTTACAATCGTCTTAAAGTAGATGTATTTCTAAGCATACATGAAAAAATTAAGAATTTTTTATTCAAAATTTCCAAAGATATATGTGAATTTATATACTGACGCATTTTGAAATTTGGCATATTTTTTTAAAGTGATAACAACAACAAATGTGGTTTAGGCACTTAGGTAAAATTATTTGAAAATAGGAACGATATGACTTTTTTTTCGCTTAGTACAATGTTTAAAAAGGGAAAGGAAAGTAGATTGCCATATATTAAGAAGTTCAGCAAGTAATTTATTCTTGGTGCAAACTGAAAAAAATGCACCAAGATAACTTTTTGAATTCATAAATTTCGCACCAAATTTTATAAAATTTACTATTTATGCATAATTTGAGTTGTAGAACCAGAATATGGAAAAGAATTGGCATGTCATTTTAGAAAAAGTCCGATTTTGAGTCAAAATACCTATATTAGAACAATGCTATTTATAAATCTAATATATAGCCTAAGTCACGCTTTCGAGACATGAAAGACTCAATTTGAATTTCGTCAATCGGCCCAGTAGAACGGGAGATATAGAACTGTACCTTTTTTTTTTTTTGCACACTGCACATTAATACTACATATCGAAAAAGTATATTTCTTAATAATTAGTTATAATAATCAAATGATAATAAATTATTATTTTAGTTCAGGGGTGGCCAAGCTTCTTGATTATTTTTCAAAATTTGAAATTTTTCACAAGCCACAATTAAATACATATTTAAAAGGTATGCAAAAAAAGGTATTCAATTTTTTTTTACAGAAATTATATTTATTGAAAACATATAAATAAAAGTACATAATATGTGTATTGAATTTAAATATTAAAAATTAAACACATTTATTTTACTTCTTGATAATCTTTAAAATTTGGTAATAATTGATGACAGCACTTCTCAGTAATTCTTTGAGATGCTGGTTAGTTAATTAATCGGTTTTGGATTTCATGAACTTTAAAGTGGAATAAAATGATTCACATAAGTACGTTGTTCCGAATATTGGAATAATTCGAGAAGCAGCTTTTATTAATTCAAGATAATTCGATTCTGGTACAAATTTCCAAAATTGAGTAATCGACGTCGATTTATATTTTAATTGGTTATATTTTAATTGTAGGGCTTGTATTGGTTTAATCGTAGAACTTGATCTTCTTGCATCTCTATTCATTCTAATTCTCCAGATGCTTTTTGGGTTGTAATTATATTGGAAATGGAAAACTCAGCTTGAATTATGTTAATTTCAAACGGATTCAGAAAAAAATCATATTGGCAAATGTCTCATTAAATTAATAAGGGAAGATCCCTGCTGATTGCTTGTTTTTTTTTCTGGGGGGGAGAACTACATAAAGAATACTTCCAAAAATTTTTCTATTAATTTTAATGATCTTATTTTTAAAAGTAAGTAATGAAATGTGTACTGTTCATGTAAAATTCATTTATTATGAAACAATTTTTCAACAGTTTTGACTGCTAAGCAGTGCAGAAATTCAGCTTTGTTTCTAGACAGTTCTACAGAGGGAATTCACACATTTTTGTAACGATTTTGATTTTCTTTATAAATTTAAATATTAATTTAAACATAAAAAGTCACTGCCATCAAATAAGGTTTAATTATCATCTGCAGCATTAAAAATATTCTTTTCTTTAAAAAGTTGCTGAAAAATAAACAATGGATCGAAGGACATATTTTTGCGCTGTCCGAAGAAATACTCTTATTCAAATATTAAAAAGATGTGAAAAATATGGTTTTAATATTTCTACACATAAAATAAGTGGCATAATTAATATGAAAGGACAGAAACGTCAGAGTTTACATCTGACTGGGAAAAAGACAAAAAATGCATACCAAACAAAGGTAACCTCTAATTAAATCTAAAGTCGCATCTCTTGTTTTAAAGGAAAATCCAGCCCCCCCCCCAACATCTTTTAGTATCTCTGTAGGAACTATGAACAAAATTATAAAATGTGATTTAAAGCTAATCAAAACAAAGAAACACGATCTTCATCGCCTAACGCCAAAATATATTTCTCAGTTTAAGACTATGTGCAGATTGCTGTATGAAAATTATTTGGCAGGTGAAAAATAGAAATGTCTAGTTACAAGTGATGAGACTTGGATATACATATCTGACTGCAATAGAAAAAGATTGATTTACTACCAAAAAATAGGAGGAAAAGACTTAATATGTTGGTTTAGAGAAAACAAGGAAAGTTTTATGATTATTACTAGATTCTCTTATTACGGAAAACTTAAAATAAGTAGAAAAAATGTCAAAATTAATTCGGATTACTATCAGAAATATGTTTTAACACCTATTTTTAAAGAAGAAATTCCATCTTTTTATCCAAACAATCTTAACTGTGTTAAGTTCCATCATGATAAAGGCTCCAAAGCCATACCTCTAAATCTACAGCTCTATTTTTTTTTAAAAAATGAGAAATGAAACCGGAATTGATGCTGTTCCCCTTTAAATGCATCCCACCCAAGTCCCATGATGTGTCTCCTATGGATTACTGCGCATTTGGACTTTTAAAACAAACATAAGCGGCATTCCAAAACATTGGATGGACTCTGGAAGATTGTGAAGGAGGAGAGGAATATAACCAACCTTGATGTTTTAAGAAAAGAATTTTTATCTTGGAAGTCAAGATGTAATATTGAACACATTAGAAAGTAAAATTCTAAGGTTTGGTCATATATAAATCTTTGCAAAATCGTTACAAAAATGTATGAATGTAAATGTTTTGGAAAAATGCTAGCCTAGGTTGAACTATCTAAATATATTAGAAACAAAGGAAATTCATGTCAGATAGAATATACTTAAAGAAACACACTCACAGAGAAAATAAGCAGTTTAAAAATTTCAACAGTATAAATTTCATATAAAACGCCTTCATACCACATGGCATAATTTGTAACTCAATGTTTCTTAAATACTAAATATAAGAATCCAATCTTACTTCATGTAGCTGCATTTGTAAATCCTTATTTTCTGTTACTATTGCTACTTGAGCTTCAAGATCTTTGTATACAGATCTATAGCCTATTAAAAAGATTAAAAATTTAAATTAATTGCTTTTCATAATATGCAGCATAACATTTTAAAATTTTCAGTTGATCACTCTCTCTCTATATATATCTATATATTATCATACACACACATATATATATATGTATATATATATATAAAGTTTACATAGATATTGATAAATATTGGTGAACTGTAAATTTGTAGAAAATTATTTTAATTGGAAATAAAAATATTTTAAAATTGTGTATCTAAAAACAGAAATTATAACAGATTTTACTAAGGTTCAAAGAAAATCATGGGTCATTTGTTATGAAATTACATCATTATAATCTCTTGGATTTCACTTTAGCAATGCCTTAAAATCAAACACTTTCTATTAATATATAAAGTAATGAATGAATTAACTCAAATCAATAGAAATATTAAATTTAATTAATCTGCTTATCATGCTTTTTAAAAACTGATACCTATATATAATCTACATTGTAAAATTTATAACTCTGTTCTTAACAGCAACGTGTAGACAGACAGATTATGTATTCTAAGTAAAATAGAAAAATGACATCATAAATTTTAATATATTTAAAGTTATGTTATTTTAATACACATGTAAAATATTTTGTATTTAAATACTCTTGATAAAAATATTAGCAGAAGAAATTAATAGAAAAATTTAACATTTGTGCTAAAGAGTAACATCATATGAATATAAATATGATTATATTTATGATCATATTTAAGAAAGCTGTTAAAATTTACTTAGATATATTTTTATGACTATTTTTCAGTAAGTAAATTTCAATACTACAGAAAGAAAAGGTATTGCTCCAACTGGCAATTTACTGAATTTCATTAGTTAGTTATACTAATGGTGCCACCATTTTTTCAGACTATTTTGTTTTTAAAATGCCATTTTCAAATTTTTATTATAAATTTACTCTCAAATAAATTTCACGTTTACATTACAAAGAGTTGAAATAAGAAACAAGTGAAATATCTGTTATTTTAAGTGGCAACAGTCCATAATTTATCTCTCTTAAATTCATTATCTTATTTCATGTAGACTTATACAGTACAAAGTCTTTAATCCACATATCCATAAGCCGAAATGAACTATAATAAAGACCTCAAAGCTACAAAATTTCTGCGCATGCGCATAATACCTTTACGCATGCGTTTCCGCAAGCGCAAAATACGTTTATGCTTTGTAATGTATAACGGACGGTATAAGCTAGGCTAAAATTATCTAATTATCTATTTCAGTTAATGTTGCAGATTGTGTTGTTCCTTAATCTTTTAATTGGATCTGACTTGTTATTTTTTGCAGACTGTTAGAGCGATTTTATAAAAAGTAAGCTTGAACTTTCGATTATGTCAAAAAGAGTTTCTGATTCTGGAGCTGCCAAAGGATCTACAAAGCGAAACCATGTTTCGATGTCCATCAAACAAAAAGTAGAATTGCTGCAAAAAATGGATAAAGGCATGAAGAAAGTGACAGAGAGGTTAGTGAAAATGAAAAAATTTCAATTGACAAGTTAGTTGGTATTCTCGGCACAGCAATTACAGGACTTGAACAGCTGAACAAGAAATTATGTATGTTTATAGAATTAAAGAGAAAGTATTAGCACATAAAACGAAGCAACTTAAACAATTTACATTGAAAGAAATGTTTAATAAAGTAAACAAATAAATATTAAGTTTTTTTTGTAAATTTTGATACCCTTTAGTTCATTAATTGCTCTTTATTTCATAAATTATGGTTTCATATTTTTAATTTTATATTTTCTGTATGCCATCTTACCAGATTTAAAATTGATGACCTATAATCCTGAAAAACCCCTAATCCGGAATCGAAGTCCCGAGGAGTCCGGATTAAAGACTTTGTACTGTATATGATAATTCAGCACTGTTAATGATACATCTTTTAAGTTCTTTACCAGTTTATTTAATTTGCAATGTTATTTTTCAACAAGTACTTAGCTGATAACTCACCAAAATTAGGAGAACCAATGAAAGTTACGGAAGGTAAATTTTCTTTCGGCTTGTAATACCATAATCCTTTTACATGAAATGTCCAATCAGATCTTTCATATTCACGAAGCTCTATTCTATTCTGCTGTCCAAAGTTCAAAACTTTAGAAAAGAAAGTTTTGGCAATATATGTGTAGGCCATTGGTATTGCACCAGATACACCTTTTGCTCCATAGAAACCATTTACCTTAAATATCAGTCAAAAGTTAGTCAAAAGTAAGTATTACAATTCAGTTATTAGTTAAAATTGAAACTATGATTTCAAAATAACCCCTGTTTTACCACTATTTAAAAACACAGTACCACCTATGTACGAGGATTGTAAATTAAATAATGGCAACTTAACCTTGAAACTCGCAGAAGGGCGGGCATGTGCAAATAGGATACGGGAGCGGTGAGGTGGCGCTGTTGTTGATGTGTAGAGTGCAAAACACAGTCAATCTGCTTAGAAGGGTAGTTATTGTGTGGCGTTAAATGAGGAGTTTCGTTTCATTGCTCTAAAGCATGTTTTCAAAAGGTGATCGGTGGTCGTGGCTTAAAATCGAGGTTGGCCGTGGCAAAAATACAACAGAATGCTGTTGAAGCTTAGTGGAAGCCTGTGGCCCAAATGCTTTACCGTATAGGACAGTAGCACGATGGGTTCAAGCATTTCATTCGGGTCAGAATGAGACTGCGTATTTGCAACTCACAGGTCAGCCCTCCATTCCTCTAGAGCAGATTCACATCCTGGGCGGTCTCCTTACCATAGAACGCCGATGGACTGTCCGAGAATTATCCTTAGAGGTTGGTCTGAGTCAAACGGTGTGGCACATAATGAAGAAATCTCTCAACATGAGGAAAATTGCTTCCTGCTGGGTTCCACATTGACTAACCAAAATACAGAAATGGCACCGGTATGCACTGGCTGGCACCCACTTGGAGAGAAAGTGCAATGAAGAAGACGCATTTCTGCAGAGTATTGTCGCCATTGATGAGACATGGGCACGAGCCTATGAGCCTGAATTAATGTGTCAATCAAATGAATGATATCACCAAGGTTTATCACGTCCACAGAAATTTCGACAGGAACCCAGTTGGATGAAGGTTATGCTGATTATGGCATACAACTGGGACAGTGTGATTCTTACACATGCTGTAGCTGAAGGACAAACTGTTAACACAGTTTACTATTGCCGATTTCTAGAGCACCATCTACGTCTGGCTATGCGGCGCAAATGTCCACGTTTATTTCACAACAATCTCCCTATCATATTGCATAACAATGCTCATTGCCATATCGCAAACAATGTCACTCTCCTTTTGTGACGGTGGCAGTGGGAAATCCTGGAACACCCTCCCTACTCACCCGACATGAGTCTTTGTGACTTCGATCTGTTTCTGAAGTTGAAGGAACCCCTCCGAGGTCACCGGTTTCATGATGTTTCATCTGTACTCTACGTAGTAGGGCGCTCGGTCGCTCACATCAACAATCAATACATTGCCACTGGTCTACAACAGCTTCCCGACACTTGGCAAAAGGTTATAAGTTTTGCTGGTGATTACATAGAAGGAATGCAATGCAATTGTACTTGTATGTTCATTAAAAATTGATGTATACCTATGTTGCCATTACTTAATTTACAGCCCTCGTACATTATGATAAATACTGTATAATACAGGTGACTAGTGCATAGTTATTATTGCATTTCTTTAATTAAATATGTTAAAAGTTCTGTGAACAGAATATGTTAGCACAGACAGAAAACAGAAATTTCAAGATATGAAATCATATCAGTCATTTATTTTGAGGCATTTAATGAGTTCTGCCCAGAAAGGTTCAGCAAAATTTAAATCTGACAAAAATAAAGAACAACAAAGAACTCAAAAGTGAGTGAAATGCTCTCATTCTGTACCATTTCTGCATGGTGGGGTTGTATTTTCAATATAAATCATCATGATTGAAAAAATGGCAAGATTCATATAGTCTGCTGTGAGATCTGCATTAGTCACTCCTACCAAGAAAAACCCCAGTTGCATGAAATGCCTTTAACCCTTTCGTGACAGCATACATTTAAGAAGCTCGTGCAGAACAGAAGGGAATCAAAGGCAGTCACCATACAGGATGTGGGTTTTGCATCGCTAAGCATAATTTTGTAAAAAAAATCAGGAAAAAAGTTTCACTTCTAGCATCATTATTTTTGGTATCATTTTGAATTATTACTTGAGCTCTTATATATGTTAAAATTAGCATTTAATAACCTTTTTTCTTTATTTTACAAGAAAATATATTTTAAAAATTGCTTATCTTGTAAAATAATTTTCAGAAGCGCTATTCAAATTATTCCAAAGTTTTAATTGATAAAATCCATCAATAAAGTTTAAAATTAATAAAAACAATACAATAAAGACTATTTACAGGAAGAAGTAACAAAATTAAAAATGAAATCTGAGTGTGGTAAATCTCGAAGCACGGAGAAGTATCACTTTCTAACTCTTAGAAAAATATTTACTTTCTAACTCTTTAGGAAATGAATCATCACTCTCTGTGTTAGTAAATGGCTCATTAACCATACGAGTGTATTCATCCTCTGAAAAATAGCGCCTTCACGCCATAATAGACTGGAGGTGAGGTTTTCCAAAATAAAAAGACAACCAGAAATATGTCTGAAGGCAATGCAAAACGTAACAGAGCTCCACATAGTAACCCTACAAGACCATACATGGTAAAGGAAAAAATAGAATGAGGCGATTTAAGGAGCCCACCTTGTTTATGCTTTCCCTCCCCCCACCTTCGCAGCAGTTGATACCAAAGTCAGGCAGAAAAACTCAAGGTCAGGAACCTAAAACTGTGTTCATTTCAAAAGTAATGGACATAGGATGCCATCTAGTGGTCTTCAGAAAAATGTTCCCGCTTAAAATGCATATACGCATCACCCATCCTCTGAATGCAATCTCTAGTGATGCGTGGATGGGATGCCCGGCTGTAAGAGACATTCTTAGGGAATGTGTATATGAGACGTCCATTGTGATAATTGTTGATAATTCTACTGCTACTACATGCAGATTAGTTAAAGACATAAAAGCTTTGATGGGAATATAAGAATAGTACAATTCAATCACTTTTAAACCCAAATATGCATAATTTACCAACATATAAAACTTAGCTCACCGAGGTAGGTAACATAGTGGATATATACATATACAGTGAAATATGTTTAACATGAAAACTTTTAAGATGAAATATCGGTTAACATGAAATAATACAATCCCAACAAACTACTATGTATTTTCATGCATTTCGTTTCTCTTAACACAAAAGTATAGCTTTTCTAAGGATGAAGAAAATACGGACAACATCGGGCGGCGAGATTTAAGAGGGGTGTGACATGAAAGAGAGGTGGTTTAACACGTTTCGTAGAAAGGAAGCTAACTTGGCTTTGAAATACCCTCAGAATAGTCATCGACAAGAGCCAGTTCTGTAAATCTAAGCTACTTTGACCTTTCACTCCTATAAATGCTACACAAACATCTAATCTCTCATCAGTTGGCTTTGGAATTCGGTGACAAGTACATCACAGTGTGAGTAAAAATCAGTCAGTTTGATATGTTGCACCGTGCATGTCTCTGTCTCTTCATATATTGCACTCTGCATGGAATTCAGTGATTCCAAGCACGAATGAAAATTGTTTTCGTCATGCACGATTCTGAAAGTATCAGATTCTTTGGTGCCAAAAGAAATGGAGAAGAAGGATATTGAAACTGAGCCAACATTTAAAGAAATGTTTGAGAAAGTTTCTGTATTAGTGGACTGTCCTACTGTATTATCCAAAGAATCCGCTGCAGTAGTTGATGATAATGTGTGTACAGCCCCAGTTAATGGCAGACTAAGACATTTTGGAGTTTGTTCAAAGCTAAAAAAATATCATTGATGCAGATTCCGACAACAAAAATGAAATGAATGATGCAGCTCCTGTTCTTACGTCATCCGAAATGAGGAACATCATAAAACGTATGTGCAGTTATTTAGACCACATTCCAATGGTGAAATGAAAAACAAAATCGATAGCATTGAACAATTTGTTAACAATTTGATGCTAAAAAAGACAGTGCAAAGAAAAATATCAGATTGTTTTCCAAAAGTTCTGTTTTCCAAAAACTTGAAAATTTTGAATTAAATTTCATTAAGTTATTGTGGATGTTTCTGTTTCATTGATTTTTATTAATTACATGCTTATATGCATATCTGTATAAATAAAATGTACTCTAATAAACTTAATTTTGTTGAATACATGTTTTTATTTTTCTTTTCTTTTAACATGAAAAAATACTTCAGTTCCCTCAGTTTTGTGTTAAACGATTTTCACTGTATATATACAAATATTTATATACTTTTGGTGAGGCTGATTGCAACCAAAAAGGGAGGTGCACATCTACATGTTATAGCCATGTACAAAATTTCAACGTTCTGAGGCTACTCGTTTTTTGAGTTATATAAGATACATACATATGTACAGATGTCATGAAAAAATTCTCTTCTAAATCCATTTCACAATCTTTTTTGGGGAAAAGAGTCCTCTATTCTGTCTGTACATACAAGCTGTAACACAAAAACTTCGGTCAAATAAAATCGAGAGCAGTCAAAATGAATACTTTCATCAAACTATACCCAAAATTTTTCACGATTACAATACTTCCTTTGCTTCGTACAAGAAAGTAAAGATGAATCATTAAAAAGTCTTGATGCTGCCAAATAACATATTACTCATTGTTTTTGTAATTTATCTATTTATTTATTATGTAAAAATTACAAATGTAAAACTGATATTATTTCTACAGAAAAGCAGAAGAAATAATAATATAAACAGAAAAGAAATTCATGATTTTTTTCTGTTTACATTACTATTTCTTCCACTTTCCTGTAGACATATTATTCATTTTCATTCATTTAGAAAAGAAGATGGCGGATCGGAGGATGCCTTCACTGGATTTTTCTTCTGCCCATCCAACCTCTTTGGAGGCAATGGCACCCCTTTTTCCAATATACATGCAAATGCAGTAGCCAGATATAGACTTTGGACTCATACTTTTAAGAAGACGCTTTGACTTTTAAGAAGTGCCCGACTTTTGCCGCAAATATATTGAAACTTGGAATGGTACCACTTATTGACCCACTGCAGATGGATTTGAGCAGTGGCGACTAGTAATTAGCACTGTGGAACTGCAGCACCCCCTATTACCACTTATTATTATTTTTAACATTTAATATAGTCTTTAATTCTTTCTTTATACTTTTACAATACATAATCCTTAAGCTTAATGTCAGTAGCCATCTCCCAGTTAGTCAAAAAGGTAGGAAATTCTTTGTTCGGAACTGCGCGCTTCACACAGTGACGTGGTGTTTAGCCGTTCTGCGCATGCGCACACAGAAAGCAGCATACGAGCCAGGGAGAGAGAAGAGCACTGTTGCTCTTGCAGTGCCAAAATTCTGGCGTGTTGTTGGAAACATGATTTGTTTTTACTTTGCGCATGTGGTATTCCTTCAAAAGGTGGAACTTCATCATACGGACCATAAACAAAGCTCATGAAAATTTGCAACCTTTAAAAAATTGCCTTACTGACAACATCAAATGCAGATCAAACTATTGCAAAAGCAACAGGAATTTTAAAATATCTAAATGATGATAATTTCAAGTTTTTGGTTATAGAGCTTTTTATCAGAATATGCCTCATGTTGAAATAATATACCAACTAAATGCAATCCAGAAGAAATTAGTGTGCTTAAAATTAATGAATTTAACAAATCAATTTCAAAACTGCTATTTTAGAATTAAGAAACTCAAAGTACTTGTGAAGAATTTTTCAAAGACACTGATGGCAGAAGCTAAGGAAATATGTGACTTTATAACTATGCATTGATACAATGCACAGATATTCTTCCACTAGACTTAAAACTATGCATTGATACAATGCACAGATATTCTATTCCACTAAACACTTAGCAGCTGCTAAATTGTTTAACAAGAAATGCTTAGTTTTAGGAATAAACATTCTACAGAAGAAATAGTACTGACCACTGAAGCATATCCAATGATTGACAATTAAAAGCTTGAAATTGAACTGAAAGTATTCTATTGTAGGTCTGATATCCATAAATACTGCAAATTAATTGAGCTACTGAAATTTATCTTCTAAATAATCTAGATGATGTTCTTGGTGAAATTACGAAACTGATAAAAATTCTCTTGAGAGTTCCCATGACTACATTAGAGGCAGAACGCTGCTTTTCAACATTGAAAAAAATGAAAACTTTTCTAAGAAGGAACTAAGAACTATTCTTCACTAGGAATTCGGAAAGACTAAATTCACTTGCTTTGCTTTCAATAAAGAAAAATTTCCTCAGTTGTCAGAGATCAAGGAGAAAATTATTAATCTTTTAGTGCAAATTAAAACAAGAAGAATGGATTTCATTTTTAAATGAATATATAAAGATTGAACTGTAACAATTTAGGTTAAAGTAATTAAGAAATTTTTAATTTTTTTTTGTACGATTTCATGAAGTTTTAAAATAAATTTTCTTTTTATGCATGTTTGTTTCCTTTTACACAATTTTAAAACACAAGTTAAATTTTTTTGGAACAGCACCCCCACTTATTTTAGCTACGAGCTGCCACTGGATTTGAGGCCCTGAATCTAGCAGCCACAGTCGTCCCGACCTTTGGGAAGGTCTGACCCTGGAACTGTGTTTTAAATCATATCTTCTCACTCCTAATCCATGGACATGAGAACAACAACATGATATAAAAAATTATCTAATAACACAAACAAAAGAAGTTCATAGTTCAAGGATAATTAAAAAACACACAGTATAATATTAAATTATTCATAAGTAGTAATGAAAAAAAAAATTGGTGAAATACAACAATATTTTACAGAAAATTATTTAATCAATAAACCATTTTATCTGAAAATATTACCCCTGAAAATTACAATAAAAGCCATTAGTTTGTAGGGATTTATATTTATTTTAACTAACAAGTTAAAGTTTAATTTAAAAACTTTCCTACCTTCATTTCCTCAATTGTCAGTGCCAAAATATTTAATTCTTATTGCGCGCGTTAAATAATGCAAATTTCTACTTTGAAGAAAGTATTTAAAAGCTGAGTTTGGTAGGAGAAAAGAGAGTTAGGCTATAACTGCCTCCTCTGCCATAGATATGTTGCTTATTACTAGTTCACGTGGCTTAACTGATTTACTTGATGCCACAAGCTTGAAAGGGTTTAAGTTATGATATCTCACTGAGCACTAAGGGTTACTTTTATCACTTGTTAATATCTTCCACTTTTAGTTTCATTATCTGATTTTCAGTTACCGCCCAAGCAGAGGCGAAGTTTGTTAGTATCGAGTTGACACATTGTAAATTTTAAGGAACTAATAAAGGGTACTTTAACCTTTCAGAGTACTTCTGTATGAAAGACTGAAGACGTAGGACTACGCCTTCAGTCTTTCATACAGAAGTGCACCTGCTGCACTCTAGTAGTTCTTCAAACATACGCAATTATAATAACATTTGAGAACCATCCAAGCTATATAAAATTAACTCATTTAATTGGTTCCTTCAGAAAAAGTTTATTGGCTTGTCACAGGGTTAACATATTAGTAATAATTAATATAAAAAACAGAACTTTTATTGAATTAACAAAAATTATTATAGAAAATGCAGTTGCACTACAATGCCACTAGGACTATATGTCTTGATTTATTTTTGATGATAGTTAAATCAATGAAATACATACAGTAAAAAGTCCAAAATCCGGACATCCAATATCTGCAAAGATTCAAAATCTGGATCACCAGCAAACGTTTTTCTTTAAAACTTTTTTTATGCTTGTAAATTTGATGTTTTTTCAAAATAAAATATGAAGAGAAACCCATTTCTTAATTTCACCTCGGCACTGACACCAACCTCAGGAATGATTATTATTTTTTGCTTTCATCACTGTATGACTATCAACAACTCCAGCTTGAGAAACGACAGCAACAACAATGCAATGATGTCTAAACAAATTTGTTAAATATTAGTATAAGAATATAATAGAGCATGGTAACCTTTTTTGTTGACATCATGCTTGGTGCAGATTACAGCTAACTCTACTGCGAAGTGAGTTGACCAGGTGAACTTTAACAGAAATTTCTTTCCATATACAAAAAAATAGATTTTGTAAATGATACCTCATAGCCATATACATTTAGAGTTGCTGAGTTGAGAATAACTGATTTGTTATCCAGGATTGGTGCCACTGTACCAAACGGCAGAAATTTCAGGGAGGCAAAACTTTCAGAATTTAGTGAAGCACCGAGAAATATGGAATGGCAAGATTATTAGAATTTAGGGAGGTGCAAGGCAGCACAATTTCAAAGCTACAAGGATTGCATTAGGCAACAAAATACGCAGTGCCAGTCATAGATAAGCCTTATATGTGTAAGCAGAAATTTATTTATTTGAGACTCGGATAAGCCTTAAGCATGCATGGGAAACAGGTGTCAGTACAATAAATAACTAATATAATTCAAGCTTAACCTCATCAGTGTGAGACAAAAGCAACACATAATTTATCAAAGCATGTCTTTCGTTGCTAATTTCATTTGCTAATACTATAATTTGCTCATGTTTTATTGCTAATAGTGTACAGCGGACACCAGGGCCGGCGGAAGCAGGCCTGCTAAACCTTTTTTGCAGGCTCCGATTGTCCGACGGCACACAGCTATTTTTTTTTAATGCAAAAGAATGTGATGATCCAAGCATGGAATTAAATGAATGTGAAGTTAAAGATTATTCAGATAATTTGATGGATGAGACTGGCATAAATGAAAATTCATTTCTTCATATTGATTTTGATGATTCTGAAAAGTGGCAACTCTTAGTGACAAAGTGAGAATGACTTTTTCTGAAATGGGGCCTATTCAAAAGAAAGGTTTAATGTAGTTCAACAGGACATTCAAGAGCCCCCCAAGCCTTCGGGCTCCTATGCAACAGCATTCTTTACATACCCTTATTTACGCCACTGAAGACATCACAACCCACAGTTCCAAATGATTTCACTCTTCTTTGCAGGTAGCCATTTCTGAGAAGGCTTGTCCAAAAACAATGATTATGCTCTCAGAAATGCTGATCACTTTTAGAAGTAGTTTTCTTCGGGAGCTAGTTATGATGAGTGGGTTCTCTGTATATGAATTAGTGAGCAACTAAATGATATAGGTCAAGTAGCAACCACATTAATATTCTCTACAAACCACTTTGGATTACTTAATAACAGCAAATCACGAGAGGGCTACCTACCTGAGTTCCATTTCAGTTTTAATCAGTAGCACCGTACAGAATGGAATTCTTAAGTCTTGTGTCTCTCATATTCTTCCCTGATCACCAACCTACTTTTAGATCAATAGATTTTCAGTACTCCTAATTCTTAAAAGATAACATCACAAACACCTGGCGTTTGATTCCCAGCTCAAGATTCATCTAGTCTTTGCTAACTACCCTACTGTCTAGGATAATTCCCTAAAATTAGTATTGCATACAAGCCTGTTGCAGTAAGTTTATTTTGTAAATTACTAAA